TTGTCCAGTCATTCCTAATATACTACAGTGTGTCTTGTTCCCATCATCCTATACTACAATGTGTCTTGTTGTTCCCAGTCATCCTAATACTACTATCTACACAGTCATCCTAATACTACAATGTGTCTCCAGTCATACCTTGTTCCCAGTCATAATACTACATGTGTCTTGTTTCCAGTCCCAGTCATCCTAATACTACAATGTGTCTTGTTCCCAGTCATCCTACACGATGGTTCTCCTCGTGAAGAAAAGAGCTCTGTTGGCATCCCTGTCCAGACGAGCTGTCATCTCCCGTTGCCTTGGCTCCTCCAGCATCCAAGAACAGCTGGCAGTCCCCCTCGAAGAAGAAATACGGGATGCCAAGCCCATTTCTGAAATTCCTGGACCTAAATCTTATCCTGTGGTTGGTTCTCTGTTAACCATTATGAAGGGACATCGTAAGTATATGTGATTTATTGTTTTGCTGGTCGGTTTGATGGCTTCAGAGATATATTACAGGTTGACAGGTGTAGTCATTAGTGATGTTTACTTGGGAATTAAAAGTGTTAAAAGAGCAACACGATTTTAAAGTGCTGATTAAGAGTTTGCATTTCCTATATGCCAGTATATTTTTACAAAAAGCAGCGAAAATATATAATCGATTTTTTTTCGTATCCTATTGTATATAAAAGTTTAATTTCTCCCAGTAAACCTTATAGTACATGTGGTGGAGATGCCTCAATCAACATTAATATAAGCTGTTCCAAAGATTTTCTTATACAGTTTGCAATTCGACGATTTGTATTACATAAACGGGGAGCTTCTTTGATATGCAAAAAAACATGAACTACTGGAGCGGGTGGCTACTTACCAAGTGTAGAATGGACCATGTGTACCCGATAAAGAAGTGGAAATTCGTATCCAAACTTTTTTTTTAGGAACAGAGCCACTGCAATTTGTCCAAGAGGGAGAGCTTCGCGGGAGACTCGCACCTAAAGGCCGTGTCACACTAGCACTTTTTCCGTCGATTTTTTGACAATTTTATTTAACATAAATACAAACATTCTCGAATATAGCACTTGATCTGACTATGCTTGGCTGAAAAAGTTGACGGAAAGGTTTTCAGACGGAAACGATCATTATCATCTGACTGGAAAATCGACAATTCGCTCAAAAATGGACAAAATATCAGAAAATTGTAAAAAAAAAAAAAAAAAAAAAAATGACGGAAAAAGTGCTAGTGTGACGGCACCTTTAGTCGACGGCAATAAAGAGATCCAGATACCAACAGACCCCAACTTTTAGTATCTTTTTCTTTCTTTCTTTCCTTTTTTTTGAGATTTTGACGGCAGGGGCTTCACAACTTCCAACTTCTACATTGTGTAAGACCTCGGTTAACCTTTGACCCGGCTGCCCTTCACTCCCTACCCATCCCTTCTTCGCCAGAGTTCGACAAGATGGCGGCTCACAAATTCTACCTCCACATGCGCGACACTCACGGCCACATCTATCGCATGACCGTCCCCATCGCCGGCAACTTCACGGTCGTCTCCAACCCCGACGACTGCGAGAAGCTACTACGCGTCACCATGCACAATCCTCAGCGCTTGCCTTTGGATTCCATTAAGGCGGTGAGAGAAGAGACGGTCGACGGCTTCTTCAAGGAAAACACGGGGCTCTTGCTCGAGTAAGATACAGCGGGAGGAAGATTGGCTGTTGACGGGACGGATAGATTTCGTGTATGTTTGCGTGGTGGGAGTCGGGGATCACGTTTTTTTTTTTTTTTTTTTTTTTTTTTTTTTTTTTTAATTTTTTTTTTACTGATTTTTTTTCTTTCTTTTCTTTCCTTTTTCTTCTCTTTTTTTTTTTTTTTTTGGTGTATAGACAAAAAGAGACTGGTACTGAATTTCTTTCTTTCTTTCTTTCTCTTCTTTTCATTCTTCAGTGTATGGACAAAAGAGATTAGTACTGAATTTCTTTTCTTTTCTTTCTTTCTCTTCTTTTATTAGTGCATGGACAAAAGAGATTGGTACTGAATTTCTTTTTTTCTTTCTTTCTCTTCCTTTTTAGTGTATGGACAAAAGAGAATGGTACCAAATTTATGTTCTTTCTTTCTTTCTCTTCTTTTTTAGTGTATGGACAAAAGAGATTGGTACTGAATTTCTTTTTTTCTTTCTTTCTTTCTCTTCTTTTTTAGTGTATCGACAAAAGAGATTAGTACTGAATTTCCTTGATATTAGTGAATAGATCATGATTATGATGATGATAGTAGTGAGAATAAGGGGACATCTGGTGATACAACGCTAGAATTTTATGTGTTAAGTGCGCATAGAACCACTTAAGATCTCTCTCTCTCTCTCGCTGACCCCCAGGAACGGAGAGAAGTGGTGGCGCGTGAGGAGCAAAGTCCAAACCCCGATGATGAAACCGAAGATGGTGGGGGCCTATCTCCAACAGATGGACGAGGTGTCCAGAGAATTCACAGATAGGTAAGTCTGAATACTGTGCTTGGGTTCTCATA